TAACTCGCGGGCACGGGCTCCCCCGGGTCAGTCCTGACCTAACTCGCGGGCACGGGCTCCCACGGGTCAGTCCTGACCTAACTCGCGGGCACGGGCTCCCCCGGGTCACTGCTGACGTAATTCTCTGTCTCGTCGCCACTGTTAGTGTGGGCTGAGCGGCGGCCCCCCCTCACAGTCCTCATTGCCCTGGGTCGGGGTCAGAGCTCAGGGCCAGGGCTGCTGTCTGCCTGGGTCCCCTCTTCCCCCAGGCTGCCCCATGCCCAGTGGTGCCGGACCCCATGGGGCAGATGTGGGTGGGGGAGGATGTGCTGTGTCCTCTGCTCTAATTGCCCTGTTTGCGCCCAGGGCACCAACGGCTCGCAGGTCTGGGACACCTCGTTTGCCATCCAGGCCTTCCTGGAGGTATGTGCTCCTCTCTGTCAGCTCCCATGCACGGCCCTGTGCGCCCTCCTCCGCACCCCTGAACGTGCCCCCCAGTGTGCCCTGCCCCGCACCCCCAACGTGCCCCGCAGTGTGCCCTCCCCCGCACCCAGCATGCCCCCAGTGTGCCCTCCCCCACACCCCCAATGTGCCCCCAATGTGCACTACCCCGCATCCCCCAATGTGCCCCCAATGTGCGCTACCCCGCACCCCTCAATGTGCCCCCCAGTGTGCCCTCCCCCACACCCAACGTGCCACCCCAGTGTGCCCTGCCCCGCACCCCGCAACATGCCTCCCAATGTGCCCTGCCCTGTACCCTGCAGTGTGCCCCTCATGTGCCCTCCCCATGCAGCCCCTTGCTGCCCCTCAAGTCCTCTGCTCACCCAGGTCTCGGGGACCTGGCTTGGGGTCCTGAACTCTGTGGGGCCTGGGTCCGCCTTGCTGGCTCTTGCCCACTCCCAGACTTGCCACCACATTGCGAAGCCTAGCGCTGCCACAGTGGGCTGGGTGTGGTGTATGGTGGCACTGAGTCCTGGGGACCCTGGGGTTTTTGTGCGAGCAGGGGGTGAGGAGCTGTAGCGGGTAGGTTGGGTTTGAGGTGTCCTCCGCTGTCCGGGGGGGATACCAAGTCGCCGTTGGGTCCAGCTGTGTTGGGGAGGGAGGGCCTGGCTGGGATGTGAGTGGGAGTGTTGGCTGCAGGCAGAGCAGGCCAAGGCTGAGGGCTGCTCCAGGGGCTGGGGGTCAGGGCGCCCTTTGATCTGAGCGGATGGTGGTGGGCACTTCGAGTGTGTTCTGAAGTATAGAAGATGCAATGAGTATCAAGCCCTACAGCCCCCAGCCACTCGCCACCCCCTCTGCCCACCGTGAGAGAAGGACATGGATTTGAGGGTGTCCGGGGCTCTATCCTTGGGCAGACCGGTGGGCTGGGGCACAGCGTCAGCGGGCTCTGCTCTCCCCCAGGCCGGCGCGCACCACAGACCTGAGTTTGAATCCTGCCTGCAACAGGCCCATGGTTTCCTCCGCCTCTCACAGGTGAGGCCACCAGTTCCTTGTGGTCCTTCCCCGGCCCGGCCCGGCCCCGCCCCGGCCCTGCCCTGGCCCCAAGGTAGCAGCCTCTGTGCTGCCCCTCCCCTGCCCCTCCTCCGTCTCCTCCAGTCTGCCTCCGGCCCTGTTGGCCCTGTTGCCCTGAGCGGCACTTGCTGAGGTCCCCAGGGGGCTGTGTCACCACTGGCCTAGTCTGGACCTGGTGCGGGTGACCCATCATGGGGCTGAGTGGCAGTGCCACCCCGCCATGGGCCCCTCCCCTTCAACCTCTCCCCGACCCTGTGTCCCCCAAACAATGGTGGTGACACGTCTCCTTTGCCTTTCACACGATGCTGCCCAGATCGTGGACAATCCTCCCGACTACCAGAAATACTACCGCCAGATGAACAAGGTACGCGCCTGCCCCACCTGAGGCCCCAGGGTGCCTTTACCTGCTGGATGGTCAGCCTGATACGTGGGAGTGTTTCCCCTCAGGAAGACCCCCGCCAGCCGGCAAGCGTCTCCTCACGGGGCCGTGATCCTCGCACACGCAGGTTCACGTCCCTGCGCACACCCGCCTGTGCCACCTGCCTTTAGGGGAGCTGCAGATGCTCAGGCACTCAGTAACCCCCGAGCTGTGAGCTCGACCGGCGTGGGGAGACGGAGGCGGAGGGTCGGCGACCCAGCTCCTCACGGCGAGGCCATAGGTGTTCATGCGGCTGGGGCCCTGGCGGCATTGCCCAGCTGGCGTGGTGGCCTCAGGTGGCGCCTGCTCAGCCTGGGCTCTGTTTCCAGGGTGGCTTCCCCTTCAGCACCCGGGACTGTGGCTGGATCGTCGCAGACTGCACGGCCGAGGGGCTGAAGTCCGTGCTCCTCCTGCAGGAGCAGTGTCCCTTTATCACTGAGCATGTGCCCCGCGAGAGGCTGTACGATGCGGTGGCTGTGGTAAGGGCGCTCCCCAGCAGGCCCCGCAGACAGGCGGCTTGGCGGGGTGCGGGCCTTGAGGGATGAGCGTGTCCTGAGAGTTCCATATGGGGACCAAGAGTCTGGCTGGGCCGTGGAGGCCCGAGATTGCGTGTGGCCCTGGGTGGGAGCAGGGAGGGGCTTTGAGGAGGCTGCTGCAGCCCCGTTTTCTGCGCTGTGTGGAGGTCCGGGACCTGGCCACGCCCACACTGCAGCTCCCAGGGTCCTTCAGGCATTAAGGGAAAATGAGAACTTTGTTCGTTTTTGTGCAAAATCCTTTCAACGAGCACCTTTTTACGCGTGTCTTACATGGGCTGCCGCCGTGTGCCAGCCCGGCAGCGCGTGTCCGACTTGGGAGTGGCCTCTACGCGTGTTATCGCTCACAAGTGCCTGGTGGCGTGGTTTGCAGCCTGCTGTTGTGGGCGTCAGGCGCGGTTTAACCTGGGGATGCTCCCCGTGCCCGTTGTGCCCTCTGGCACTTGCCTGGGTGCTGCTGGGAAGCCCTGCTGTGTCCACAGAGGACACTGGGTTCTGACAGCCTCTCTTGGGTTAGTTGCTGAACATGAGAAATCCCGATGGAGGGTTTTCCACCTACGAGACCAAGCGCGGGGGGCGTTTGCTGGAGCTGCTGAACCCCTCAGAGGTCTTTGGTGAGTGTGCGGCCAGCGTGGGGGACAGCCCTGCAGGTCACAGCCCAGGCCCCACATCCTCCCCTGGCCCCCGTGGTCCTCCCCCGGCCCCCGCGGTCCTCCCCCTGCCCCCCGCGGTCCTCCCCCTGGCCCCCGCGGTCCTCCCCCGGCCCCCCGTGGTCCTCCCCCTGTCCAGTCCAGGGCCCGCAGTAGCCCTGAAGTGAGGGTGGCCCTATCAGTTCCCTGCTTCTCAAACCCCCTGTGCAGCACCCCGTTCTCTAGAGGGGAGAGCTGAGGCCCGACCCATTCTCGGTGAAGGCCCCACATCTCCGGGGGCCTCAGGTGCCCTCGCTGAGTCCTGGCGCCACGCAGAGAGGGGTCGGGTGGGTCGTTGGGTCCTGAGTCCTGGCTGGTGCTCGTATGTCTGCGGGCATCCGCCCCGTGGGCTGCTCTGGGCCGGCGAGGCGGGGTCTTCCCTGGTGGCAGCGATGCTGTCTTGCACCCTTCTGGTGTGCTTTTATCCCACTCCTCCGGGTGAGGCAGACAGTCCTGGAGAAGGCTTTCCCTGGGTGGCGGGGTGGGGTCTAGCGTAGGTCATGAAGCAGCTCCCTGCTGAGTCACCTCGTCCTGTGCCCTCCCATAGTTAGGCCAGGGACCAAGTTGCCATGCTCGTGCCAGTCCCTACTGCCACTAGTGGCCATGGCCCTGGGCAGGTCACTGGTGATGCGTCCTTGTGTCCTGGAGGGGCCCTAGGCCATGCGTTGCTGGGTCGCTGGGGGCGCCAGCTTGTCATGGGCTTACAGGGGCTCACAAACCTCCCCTTCCTAGGGGACATCATGATCGACTACACGTACGTGGAGTGCACCTCGGCTGTCATGCAGGCACTGAAGCATTTCCACACACAATTCCCGGACCACAGGGCGGGCGAGGTCAGGTGAGGGGCCTTTTCCACCCACAGTTCCCGGACCACAGGGCAGGCGAGGTCAGGTGAGGGCCTTTTCTACCCACAGTTCCTGGACCATAGGGCGGGCGAGGTCAGGTGAGGGGCCTTTTCCAGGAGCATTTTCTGGACCACAGGGCGGGCGAGGTCAGGTGAGGGGCCTTTTCCAGGAGCATTTCCTGGACCACAGGGCGGGCGAGGTCAGATACGGGGTCAGGTGAGGGTGGGATCAGGTGAGTTCCTGGACCACAGGGCGGGCGGGATCAGGTGAGGAAGGGGTCAGGTGAGTTCCTGGAGCACAGGGTGGGTGGGATCAGGTGAGGAAGGGGTCAGGTGAGTTCCTGGACCACAGGGTGGGCAGGGTTAGGTGAGCCCGGGCCCTGGCTGACCTTCAGCTGCTCCCACCTGGACACTGAGAGCAGGTCTCCTTTTGTAGGTAATGCGGTATAGCCTGTCTTGGAAAGAGACTCGTAGACGAAACTCATTTACACCCAGGAGAGGTTTGGGATGTTCCTCGATCCAGTTGTTGGCCCTAAAATAGACCAAATATGTGTATTGGGGCCCAGAATAACAGCAGTAATAATACAAAAATGAGTCATTTTTCACACCTTAATAATACTTTAAAAAAGACATTCATCTAACTTCACCATGTTCAAATAAATGGTGGTTTTACAGTAGGCTCCTCCTGTTGAAAAACAGCATATAGACACAAGTCCTTGAACCCTAATTGAGGACTTGATGGATTCTGTCACCATCACCCAGACAGACAGACAGACATCTCCAGCACACACAGGGATCACCCCGACTCTTCCATGTCCCACTGCGTCCGAGACATCCAGCCAGCAGTCGTGTAGCAGAAGTTGATTTTTTTTCACTACCGTAGGCGTTTGGATGAAAAGGCCCCACTTCTTTATCTGTTCACCTGTCCAGGGATGCTGGGATTGCTTTCGGGTTGGGGTTAGCATGAAGCACCCCTGTCCTTGGGGCGCACACGTGCACACTTCTCGGGGACGTGCACACGGGTGGAGCTGCTGTTCTGGGGCGGGCTGCTGGGCAGTTTTGGCAGATTCTGCCTTACTCTGTTGTGGTCATACTGCCTGAGGTTTGGATGCCGAGCCCGATGTGGACTCCGCTTGGTCACGATGTATGGCCCTTTTTATACATTGCTGGATCCAAGTGGAAAAATAAGATTTTTGCAACTATAGTTATGAGAGAAACTGGTCTGTAATTTTTCTCTCTTACACTGCCCTTGTCGGGCTCTCCTGCCGTGGTCATGCTGGACTCAGAACGAGTGGAAAGCGTCTCTCTGTACGTTCTTTGGAGAGTCTGTCAGGTTGGCGTTACTTCCTCCTTCAGCGCTGGGGAAAATCTACTGGCGAGTCCAGCCGGACTTGGAGTTTTCTTTCAGGGAAGGTTTTAAATTATGTGCTCAAGTTCTTTAGTAGTTTTAGGACTGTACAGATTTTCTTTCTTTTTGTGTAAGTTTTGGGAGTTTTTCCGTTTCATCTAAATTTTACACTGATGGTCACAGAGTTTTGCCCAGGGCGGTCTCCAGCGCTGCAGACCTGACCCTGACCTTCTCCTTTTCCTTCCTGACACCTGCAGGTGGGGCCATTCTCTCTTCATCCCTCTCATTCCTAGCTTAACGATTTTATCAGTGCATTCGATTTTATCAGTGCATTCGATTTTATCAGTGCATTCGCAGAACCCACCTTTGGGCTTTGATCCTATCTAGTATATATTTGTTTTATTTTTAAAATGCACTTATTTTGGGTTTTAAGGAGCCCTGGTGGTACAGTGGTCGAGCAATCGGCTGCTCACCAGAGGGTTGGTGGTTTGAACTCATCAGCTGCGCCGCGGGAGGAAGATGTGGCAGTCTGCTTCTGTAAAGATTTACAGCCTCAGAAATCCTATGGGGCAGTTCTGCTCTGTTCTGTAGGGTTGCTGTGAGTTGGAATTGACGGCAACAAGTTTGTTTTATTTTGGGCATCATCAATTACTGCTCTGTATTATTTTTTTCTACTTGCTCTTTCTAACTTCTTGAGATGGATGTTTAGATAAATGATTGTCATCCTTTCTTCCTTTTTTAAAGAAGTATTTAAGGCTATAAATAAGTTTTGATATATCTTTCAGTTAAAAAGTATTTTCTAATTTCTCTTTTGAGTTCTTTGACCCATGGGTTGTTTAGGGGTATATTGCTTCATTTCCAGAAACATGAGGATTCTCTTGTGTTTTTGTTGGAAGCCCTGTACAGGGACAGGTGGTTTCTTTTGTTCTGGCAGGCGGGTTGGGCCACCAGGGGGTGCCGTCCTTCGTTTTTTTTGTCACCCAGGCCTGGCACACAGGAGGCCCTGGGGCATGATGGTGACACGTATCTAGAATTGTCCGCATCCCCAGTCCCTAAGCTGCTTCATGATATATGCTCCTCTCTGCTGGGCTTGAGTTGTCCTCAGATACATCACAGAATTGGCCTTGTGTCTATGACTGTTTTTTAAACATGTCATTTAAAAAATACTGGTGGTGCAGTGGTTAAGAGCTTTACTGCTAACCAAAAGGTCAGCAGTTTAAATCTACCAGCTGCTCCTTGGAAACCCTATGGGGCAGTTTTACTCTGTCCTATAGGGTCTCTATGAGTCGGAATCAACTTGATGGTGACGAGTTTGGTTTTGGTTTATAATGAAGTAAAGCATGTTCTTTGAAGGGCACTTGGAAATACAAGAAAGTACAGAGGAGAAAGTAAGTCTTCCCTAATTGCACTTTTGAAGTATCTGTTATCACTGTTGGCACCCGCACACATCTCATGATCATCTGTGCACACGTCTGTATCTTCTGTGTCACTGCTCAGCTTGTACCCAGCGAGGTTTCTGGAAGCTGATGGTGACTTCGGCGTCAGAGTTCTGCACCGTGTGACGGTGGTGGCTGCACATGCGCCATTTTGCTTCCTCTGGAGCCTCTTGGTCATTTCTAACTCACATGGTTATTTTCCAGCTTACTACCACTTTAACATTGACTGGGATCCTCTTAAGTCTTTGTTCATGGCCGGCACTGTTCCCTAGAGCCGATGTGGGCTCTGGGGTCCCCTGGCCCAGGTTGACTGCCGACTCTGCCCCTGGCTGGCTGTGTGCTCAGGACCCAGGCTCTTCCCACCTCTGCTGCTCCTTCCCCTGCCACCCAGGGTGCAGCACTGCCTCATGGTCCCGTCTAGAAGCATCTCGAAGACCTGCGGGCCCGGGAGAGTATGTGGCACACGTGAGCCCTCACACGTATTAACTGTTGTCATTATGTAAAAATTGCTGGTTGGAAAGTGAACAGGATAGGCTTATCATTGGTTTCATTTGCATTTCTTTGGAGACCGTTGAACTAGAATATTTTTTTCCAGATGTTTATAGATCATATCTATGTCTTTTTTCATGAAATGTTCATTCATGTCCTTGCCAATTTTTTTACTAGGAAAATTACATATCTGAGCACAATAAGTCTATTTCTCCATCTTATATGTTGCAGATATTTTTTAGTTTCTTTGCTCTTTTTATCTGTTTAGGGAGTTTGAACATGTTTCAACTTTTAAACAGTCAAGTATATTAGGCCTTTCCTATCTGTTTTATAAAAAATGTTTAATTTATCTGGAGAGGTTTGAGACATAGTTCAGGGTTACTGATTACTCTCACACTATTGCGTATATATATGGGGTATTCCATCTTTACTCCTCTGACTTGAATTCCTCCCATAACTTATAATTTACAGGAAAGTTACAAAAATAAGAAAAAACATTCCTGCTTACCTTGCACCCATATTCCTCAATTGTTAACATTTTGCTATATATTTGCTTTATCATATCCCCTCCTGTGCCCCTGTATATTTTTTCCCTGAACCATCCGAGAGTAAGTGGCAGCATGCTGTACCTTTATCCCTCAATGCTTCAGTATATATTTCTCGAGAACAAGGATGTTCTCTTGTGTAAACATAGTACAGTTACCAAAGTAAGAATACTAACATGGATAGTAATCTGCAGACCTTACTTAACTTTTCCTAACGATCCCAGTAAAGTCCTTCAGAACAAATTTTTTCCTCAAGATCTGATCCAGGATCATGGGTTGCTCTTGGTGGTTGTATCTTCATCTCTTCTACCCTGGAACAACAATTCTTTAGTCTTTCCTTGTGTTTCATGACCTTGGCATTTTTGAAGAATACAGCCAAGTTGTTTGATAGAATGTCCTCATTTTGTGTCTTTGTGGTATTCTTTTTTTTTAATTTTTTTTTTAATTGTACTTTAGATGAAGGTTTACAGAACAAGTAGTTTCTCATTAAACAGTTAGTCCACATACTGTTTTATGACATTGGTTACCAACCTCACGACATGTCAACACTCTCCCTTCTTGACCTTGGGTTCCCTATTACCAGCTTTCCTGTCCCCTCCTGCCTTCTAGTCCTTGTCCCTGGGCTGTTGTGCCCCATTAGTCTCATTTTGTTTTATGGGGCTGTCTGATCTTTGGCTGAAGGGTGAACCTCAGGAGTGACTCCATTACTGAGCTAAAAGGGTGTCTGGGGGCCATACTCTTGGGGTTTCTCTAGTCTCTGTCAGGCCAGTAAGTCTGGTCTTTTTTTGTGAGTGAGAATTTTGTTCTACATTTTTCTTCAGCTCTGTCTGGGACCCTCTGTTGTGATCCCTGTCAGAGCAGTCAGTGGTGGTAGCTGGGCACCATCTAGTTGTACTGGACTCAGTCTGGTGGAGGCTGTGGTAGTTGTGGTCCATTAGTCCTTCGGACAAATCTTTTCCTTGTATCTTGTTCTCTTCATTCTCCCTTGCTCCTGAAGGGCTGAGAACAGTGGAGTATCTTAGATGGCTGCTCACAGGCTTTTAAGACCCCAGACGCTGCTTGAGGTGTTTTTAATGATTAGACTCAGGTTGAAATCATGCATTTTTGTCAGGAATATTACAGAAGAGGTGTATTCTCTCAGGGCTTCATCTCAGGAAGCTCATTATGTTACCTGTTCAGTGGGTTAAGGTGATGGCTACTTGGTTTCTCTACTGTAAAGTTAGTCTTTTTCTTTGTGGGGAGAAAGTTTTAGACTATGTAAATGTCCTGTTTCTTATCACAATTTTACCTATTAGTTTTAGCATCTGATGCGATTCTTGGCTGAATCATTATTCATATGATGGTTGCAAAACTGTCATTCCTTCCATATGTATTTATTGGTGTTCTACTAAAAGCTTTCCTTTGCCCTATGTATTTATTTACTTATATGCTGTTATCAACTCACGGGTTCTTACGTGTCGGTTTTTTGATTTGATCTTATAGCTAGACACTTTGCTAAACTTTGTTTAGTCGAATGGATTGTCTTAGATTTTTTTTCTTTCCAATCCGTAGGCCTGTGGTTTGTTTTTCGTGTCTTACTGCGTGGCTAAGCCTCCCTGTATTCTACTTAGCAAAAGTGGTCATAGTGGCATCTTCATCGTGTTTGCTGATATAAAGGAAAATGCTTCTAACATTTCTTCATTATAAATAATATTTTCTGTAGGTTTTTGGTAGTTAACTTTTTTCAAGTTAAAGAAGTTCTTTTCCTGATTTGCTAAGGTGTTTTTCCCCTCTGTTGTGAATGGGTGTTTAATTTTAGCAAATAAATTTCTGCCTCTCTGTTGAGATGATTATCTGTTTGTCTTCTGTACCTATAGATGATTATTGTAGATTTTTCTAATGTTAAAACACTTTTGCATTTCTGGGATAAACCTAACTTAGTATTGGTATATCCATACTGGATTTAGTTTCCCAGTATTTCATTTAGAATTTTTTGTTTAAGGTTTATGATTTAAAGTTCATCTCAGGGCACTAGTTTCAGGGGTTCAACCAGCCATCATGGCTCTAGAAATGCTGGATTCCATGAGAATTTGCAATTCTGTTCTGCATTTTCACCCTGTTGATCAGGATTCTTCTATATCTTCACCATCCTAGTGGGAATGAAATGGCATCTCATTGTGGTTTTGATTTACATCTCTCTGATGGCTGATGATGTTGAGCATCTTTGCGTGTGTTTGGTGGCCATTTGAATGTCCTCTTTGGTGAATTATCTGTTCAAGTTCTCTGCCCATTTTATGATTGGGTTATTTGTCTTTTTGTTATTATGTTGTCAAAGTTTTATATATTTTTTGATTATTAGATTCTTATCAGATGTGTGGTTTCTGAAGGTAGTACTCTACCATCGGTAGCTTGTCTTTTTACTTTTTGGTAAAATCGTTTGATGGACAAAAGTTTTTAAATTTATAAGGTTCCATTTATCTATTTTGTCTTTTGCTGTGCTTATATTAGGTAATCCATTGTTAAAAGCTAGGGCTGACGCTTTGCCCCTGCATTTTCTTCTAAGAATTTTATGGTTTTAGTTTGCACATTTAGGTCCTTAATCCACTTTGAATTGGTTTTTGTGTATGCTGTGAAGTATGGATGCTGTTTCATTTTTATGCATGTGGAAATCCAATTTTCCCAGCACCATTTATTGAAGACATTCTTCTTTACCCATCAAGTGGACTCAGCACTCTTGTCAAAAATCAGTTGACCATAGATGTGTGGGTGTATTTCTGGACTCTCACTGCTATTCCATTAATTTATGTGTCTGTTGTTACACCAGTACCAGGCTGTTTTAATTACTGTAGCTGTATAACATGTTTTAAAAGTGTGAGTCCTACTTGTTCTTCTCTTTCAACATTGCTTTAGCTGTTCGGGGCCCCTTGCCATTCCATATAAAGTTGAGGATTATTTTTTCCATGTCTGTAAAGAAAGCTATTGGAATTTTGATTGATTGAATCTATAGATCACTTTGGGTAGTATTGGGATTTTCTTAGGCTGGGTTCTCTAGAGAAACAAAATCAGTAAAGGGTATAAATATATACATATATGTATATACTTACATATATATATTTATACCAAGGAAATGACTCACTCAGTTGTAGAGGCTGGAACATTCCAAGTCCGTGGGTCAGGCTGGTGGCTTCTTCTGATTCACGTAGCCACAGGGGCTGGTGACCCCAAAATCGGCAGGTCAAGACAGCATGGTTCTTGCTCACAGGCTGCAAAGACCAGCAGGCAAGATGGCAGGTCAGCTGCTAGCTCAAGTCCCAAAAACCAGAGGTCAGACGAACAGGAGTCAGCTGCAGGATCCGGAGCAAACAGAAGCCCATGAGCCTTGCCAGAAGGTCCACTTATATTTGCTGCAGGCCACACCCCCAGTGAAGCTCCCTTTCAACTGATTGGCGACTCACAGCAGATTTCTTCATGGAGGTGATCATATTATATCAGATCTCATCATGGAAGTGATCACATCATCATATGCCTGCCAAACTACATCATAACTGGCAAACCACTGAGAATCCTCGCCCAGCCAAGTTGACACACAGCCTTAACTATCACAGACATCTTAAAAATATTAAGTCTTCCAACCTAAGAACATTCATCTTTCCATTTATTTAAGTCTTCTTTAATCTGTTTCAGCAGTGTTTTATGATTTTCATTGTATAAGTTCTTCACGTTCCTGCTTAAATTTGTTCTTAGGTATTTTATTCTCTTAGATGCTGTTGTAAATGGAATGATTTCCCTAATTTCCCTTTGAGATTTCTCATTGCTGCTGTGTAGAACTCCAACTGATTTTTGTTTGTTGGCTCTGTATCCTGCAACTTTGCTCAATTCCTCTATTAGCTCTAGAAGCTTTCTTGGAGACTCTTTGGGATTTTCTGTATATAGGATCATGTCATCTGCAAATAGAGATAATTTTACTTATTTTTTTCCAATCTTGATAGCTTTTATTTGTTTTTCTCGTCTTATTGCTGTGGCTAGGACTTCTAATACACTATTAAATAGAAGTGGTAAGAGCGGGCACTCTTGTAGCCAATTAAGTATCTTTCTGCATGAAGTATAACATTGCCTGTTGGCTTTCTGTATATGCCCTGAATCATATTGAGGAACTTCCCTTCTGTTCCAGTCTTCTTGAGAGTTTTCATCAAGAAAGGGTGTTGGACTTTTATCAAATGCTTTTTCTGCACCCATAGAGATGATCATATAGCGCTTTTCCTTTGTCCTTCTGATGGAGTGTGTCATACACTATCCTATGTTGATTTTCTAATGTTGAACATCCCTGTGTTCCCGGAGTAAATCCCACTTGGTCATGGTGTATTCCTCTTTCAGTATGCTGTTTGATTGTGTTTGCTAGTATTTCGTTGAGGATTTTTGCATCTACATTCATAAGGGTTATTGGCCTGTAGTTTTTGTGATGTCTTGGTCTTGTTTGGGTATCAGTATTGTGTTTGTGTCATAGAATGAATTAGGAAGTATTCCTTCCTTCTGTATTTTTTGGAAGAGTTTAAACAGGATTGGTGTCAGTTCTTCTCTAAACGTTTGGTAGAATTCCCCAGTGAAACCGTCTGGTCCAGGACTTTTTATTTTTTTGTTGAGAGGTTTTGATCCCTCATTCAGTCTATCTGCCAGACTTCTGATGGATCTCCTTTGTCTTCCAAATCTATCACTTTCCCTCTGATGGATTTTTTTCCCCCTTATTTTGTTCATTTTGTATGATTTACCCAAGCCTGTGTCACTGGCATTGTTTTCAGTGATCTTGATCCTGTCTGTAGCTGCTTCTAATGTGGGTTCATCTCCAAAGTCTTATTTCTTCTATTTCTTTCTTGAACTCTGCCAGTTTGCTTCTCACCTCCTGTAATTGCTTCTATGAACCTTTGTATCTAGTCTAACTATTTAGTTTTACTTGTTTTTAATGGGAGACCACGCTCATTCTTTTGAGATTACGGTCTGGGTGGAATTGGGAGAGGTACATTGCTGCTTTGCCGGCGTGTTCATGGGCAAACCCGCTGTGTTCCAGGGAGACCCTTGAGCAGGGCCTGGAGTACTGTCGGCGGAAGCAGAGGGCTGACGGCTCCTGGGAAGGGTGAGTGAGCCAGGGATCACGTGGTTCTGCCTCACATACTGCCTTCAGGTAAGGAATGTTTCTGGGGACGGGTGCCAGCCGGTGAACTTCGGGTCGACCGCTCCCATGTGAACCCGGGCCTTGACTGAGGCTGCCGCACTTGTGGCTGAAGTGGCTCTGCTGTGTGTTGGATGCCCTTGCTGGCAGATGCCGTGTCTGTGGCTCTGGGCTCACCACCTCTTTCCTCCTTTTACTCCAGCCGTTCTTACTTGTGTCTGTCTGTGGTTTTCACAGGTAGAGCCCGCCCCAAGGGCCGGGCTGGCCAGTTCCATTTTCAGTGGCTGTGAAACCTGGGGTTGTGAGTGAGTGCGGCTTGCCAAAGGCAGTCACCCCCCTTACGTGGAGGGCACACCAACAAGCCGACAGGATCCTGTTGTAGACACCCATTTTCTCTCGTCTGTCTAGCTCCTGGGGGGTCTGTTTCACATACGGCACCTGGTTTGGGCTGGAGGCATTTGCCTGCATGGGGCACAGATACCAGGACGGGTAAGTGGTTCTCAGGTGCACTGCAAGGTCACTGGGTCAGGGGTAGGGGGCGCTCACAGCAGGACACTCCAGCACAGGTACTTCCTCCTTTGAGGTTTGCTTTGGGGGAGTTTTTACATTTTTAAACAGTAAGCTCAGATCAATATTCCAGAAGACGTATGAGTTACGAGGCTGACAGCAGGATGTCCTCGTTCGGGGCTGACAGCACTGATCTGCATTAAAGATGCCGAACCGAGGGGTTGCTCAGTGCCGGAAGCTTCTGGCCCTGCCCCTCCCTGTGCATGCCCAGCTCCCTACCCACATGGGGCAGGGTCAGAGTCTGGGGGACCCTTGTGCTGGGCCGGCATGCTCTGTGGCGTGTGCGGGGTGGGCCAGCATCCTAGGCATTCCTGGGTCCTGTCTTCAGCGTTACCCCGTCGGCTGGCTGTAGCTGGTCCCATCAGGGGGCATTAGAGCCCAGAGAGTATCTCCCTTGGTCTCCCCAACAGCCCTGGGGTGTCACCATCCCCACTTCCCATCGGGAGCCACCCTCACATGGGAGGGGTGGGTCTGGAGAGCAGGCCCTGGTGGCCTGACTGGGACGGGACACTGGGCCTTCCTGTGATGTGCTTGTGTCCTGGTCCCTGCAGGGCGGCCTGCATGGAGATCACCCGGGCCTGTGACTTCCTGCTGTGCAGGCAGATGGAGGATGGCGGCTGGGGCGAGGACTTTGAGTCCTGTGAGCAGCGGCGCTATGTGCAAAGCGCCCGGTCCCAGATCCACTGCACATGCTGGGCCCTGATGGGGCTGATGGCCGTCAGGTGGGCATGGGGCTGGCCTGGGCGGGGGCTGCAGGGCAGAGGTCCCAGGGGGCAGACCCTGCGGGAAGACTCACCTGTTAGAAGTGGGGCTCATGACGTAACGGCCGAGCAAGGAGAGCCCGATGTAGACAGTGTGGGACGAGGCTGCGGGCAGGGGCCACCTGTTGGGCCTGGCAGTGGCTGTGGCAGGATCAGCCTCCAAGGTGCCACAGCGCTCAGCACAGGCCCTACAGCCCCTTCTTTCCATGCACACAGCCGGTGCTAAGGCACACGTGCATGCACACACGAATGCCCGCAGACATGCACGCACACACGCGCACGGTGGTACACACAGACATGTATACCCAGATGCGTGCACACCACGTGCACAGGTGCTCATAGATGCACGCACAGATGCAGTGGTGCAGACACGTACATGCAGACGCGTGCGCTCAGACACCTTCACACAGATACGTACACGCAGACACGTGCACGGTGGTGCACAGACGCACCTGTGCAGACGTACATGCAGACACACGCGTACATCCTCATGTTGGCTCACTTCATGTCCCTGTCTGGGCTCCTGTACTGGAACCATCTGAAGGATCTTCCTCAGTCCCCAGGCAGCCGAGGCTAGGTCCGTGTGAGCAGCAGCAGCATCTGATGGGGGCTGCAAGGGTGCAGCTCAGGGACGGAGCTCAGCCCCTGGCAGGTGGGCTGTGAGGCCCCGATGTCCTTGAGGTTTCCTGGGGGCAGAAGGGCAGCCCCTGGAGGCAGGGCTGCAGGGTGGGGCTGAAGGTGACAGCAGAAGGCTCAGCACCCCTTGGGAGCCATGTCTCCTGGGCAGGGCACCCTGCATGCCACTCCCCATGGCCAGAGTCTCTGAGAAGAAAACGTGGCGTGAGAGCCCATGTGTCTGGTAGTCCCCGGCGGGCCGGCACTGCGTGCATGCTTCCATCCACTCATCACGAGGCCGCATGAGTCCAGGGCGTGGTCTGCACGGATGGGCTCCCCCACAGCTGAGTGGGGCCCTGTCTCATCCCCAGGCACCCTGATGTCCAGGCCCTGGAGAGGGGAGTTCGATGTCTGCTTGGAAAACAGCTCCCCAATGGCGACTGGCCCCAGGTATGCCGGGGCGTCCAGGGGTGAGAGTGAGTCTGTTCCCTGTGCCCGGCCCATTTTGCGCATCTGTCCTCCGTGGGGTGTAGGGTGGGCTGCTCTGCCTGGAGACAGGGGTGGGTGAGAGAACCCCTCCAGAAGGGCCCTCGGGCTCTGCTGTCCTGCACAGCCCCTCGCCCTGCTTTCCCCATGTTCCCGGGCCCGGGAGGCACAAGAGGCAGCCTCCCGTGAACTGTGATGTGGGGGTCGTGAGGTCACCGAGGGAGGCCAGCTGCCCTCTCTGCCTCCCTTGGAGGGGTCCAGGGTTAGGGAGGCTGGCAGCTGTGAGAGGCCGGGGGCCAGGCTGAGGGTTTGCCTCCAGGGGAGGGCCTGCTGATGGCTCCATGCCCGATGCCAGGTGGTGGGGGACGTCTGCTCCTACCCCACTGGGCTTAGCCAGCCGGCAGGCAGGCTGCCGACCCTCTGCCCAGGCTCTGCTCACCTTCGTGTCCTTCCAGGAGAACCTCTCAGGGGTCTTCAACAAGTCCTGCGCCATCAGCTACACATCCTACAGGAACGTCTTTCCCATCTGGACCCTGGGCCGCTTCTCCCGCCTGTACCCCAAGAATGCCCTCGCCAGCCCCCACTGAGCATGCCTGCAGGGGGCGTGGGGGCAGCCCTGGCAGACTCAGCCCCCACACTCTGCATCTGGGAGGGCGGGGCATGGGAGGGCAGGGAAGTGGGGGCAGCCCCCCAGCAGACTCAGTCCCCCAGCAGACTCAGTCCCCCCACTCTGCGTCTGGGAGGTCGTGGCGTGGGGGCAGCCGCCCCAGCAGACTTAGCCCCCACACTCCACATCCGGGAGGGCGGAGGCAGGCACGTGGTTCTCAGTGCAGGCCCAGTTCTGAGAACGGCTTGTCAGGGCAAGGGGCAAGGAGCAGAGGGAAACCCTGAGTCCTCAGAAGGCCCACCTGTCCCAGCACCAGGCTGGTCTGCGTGGCAATGTCCTTGCGGTGGGGCACGGGGCCAGAGCATTCTGGAAGCGGGCATTGTGCCTGGCACCTCTGGCCCTGGCGCCCACGCGGCCTGCGGGCCGCCCTTTGAGGTGCTTTTGAGGCTCCTCCTGCCCTGTATTCCTCCTTGTGTCCTGTGCCCCTGCGCCTTCTTTCTGGTGGGGAGAGGGCACCATGGACCGACTGCAAGGGGAGCGTATCTGTTATGCCGTCTCCTGGGCCCCCCAGCAGCCCTGTGGGGGATGGGGCCCCCGGTCGGTGAAGGCCACCCGGGCCCAGCGGGGAAAGGGGCCAGGACTCACTGAAGCCCCGTGCTGCATAGGGGAGCCGGGGCAGTGCACCTCCCACGATGCAGCCTGGCTGGTTTTCAGGGCCCAGCACCCCAGCCTCTAAGTTGTGCACTGGTCGTGTTGAGACAGAAACAGGCCCAGAGACCAGGCCTGACAAGGACAGCGTGGCAGCTGTGCTATGCCCACCGTGGGGCATTGCTGCATGCAGGACAGCCGAGCCCTCCCAGCCCATCTCTCCCCACCCTGGCCAGGCAGGCATGGTACCCTCCTCTGACCCAGGCGAGTGCCTGGCCCTGCTGCGGCCCCCCATGTGTGCTCTGGGCGGGGTAGGGTCCATTGTCCGGGGAGACGTCTGGGGTGGGGGACCTTCGAGGACACCTGGCTTCTGCATTTGTCTGACGTCGGGATGGAAGAGATGGGTCCTGGCTTTGCCACTGACCTGAGCAGGGAAGTGGACTCAAACAGTGCTTCCCCAGGGGGACTGTGAAGGGCCACCCTGAGACCTGGGCTGGCACCACCCACTGCTCACCCATTCAGGTGCACTCGCCTGCTCCCCAGTCAGCGGACCCTGCCCTCTCCTGTCTTCCCCAGTCCATGCTGCTGTATCTGTATGCCCCCCGCCCCAGATCCTGTCATTTCCTGCCTAGACACACTGGCTACCCCTCTGCTGCAGTAGGGGTCCAGGGCCTTCCCCAGCCGTCCGTCCTCTGGCCTTCCTTGCCCCCAGCCTCCCGGGCCTCCCTGAGTGCTGTCCCCACAGTCCTGCCACTCGCCTGCCTCGGGGCGTTTGCTCAAGCTGCCCCTCTACTGCCCCCCTCCCTGTTCCCGCCTGTGTGGACCTTCCATGGACTTGTGGCTCGAACCGAGTACACAGGTGGCCTGTCAGCTCCACGCAGCAGGTGCCTGGAGAGCGTACCCTTCTTGGGCATCTAGAAACAGGTTTGTCAGAAGGGATTGTGTTGGAACCTTTGAAGCCTGTCAGTTTGCGGTTACACCTCCTCCTGACTCCGCCTCCCCAGCTGGGGCAGCAGGACAGGGAGGGACGGGCCAGCCCACGGCATCAGCGGCTGCCCACCCATGACCACGTCACTATACAAAACATATTTTCCAGGAAAGAAATCAAATTCGCTTTTGTACTGAGACTGCAAATGGGAAAATGTTATCAAAGTCAGCGCCATGACCAGCTACCTTAATAAACGGACACTTGGTCCCCTCACATGGAAGCGTGCTGTGCTTCTCTGTGGCCCTGGGGGACAGTCACAATGGCAGGTTTTCTGAGACACCGCGTCACTCCGCATCCGCTGTGTCTACACCAATTCCATGACCTTGGTCTCGGGGAGCGGGGGACAAGCAGGATGTGTCTCCAGTTATTTGAGGGGAAAACATTTGCCCCAGCACAATTAAAAATAAATTTCTCTACCTTGAGTAAATGATTAAAGATTCTTGAACTAAAATCATTGTATTATTGGTTATCAAGAAAAGACGATGAGTAGTGTGCTGGAAGTGTTCTCGGGAGCCGTCTTGGCTTTCTCTGTTCACCATGAGGCAAACTTCAGACACTTCCCGTTGAAGAATTCTTTAACTGGAAATGCTTGCTTTTCAATAAAAGCTTATTTCTAAGAAAACTGCTTTTCCTTACTGGACTATGACTGGGATTGCTACATAGACTTGAACTTTGTTTCGACAGTGTCTTAGTCATTTAGTGCTGCTATAACAAATACCACAGTAGATAGCTTTAACAAGTTTATTCTCTCACAGTCTAGGAGGCTAGCAGTCCAAATTCAGGGCACCAGCTCCAGGGGAAGACTTTGTCTCTCGGCTCTGGAGGAAGGTCCTTGTCGTCAATCTTCACCTGGACTAGGAGCTTCTCTGTGCAGGAACCCCGGGTCCAAAGGACACGCTCTGTTCCTAGCACTGCTTTCTTGGTGGTATGAGGTTCTCAACTCTCTACTTGCTTCCCCTTTCCTTGTATCTCTTATAAGAGAAAAGGTGGTGCAGGCCACACCCACGGGAAATTCCCTTTACATTGAATCAGGGATGTCACCTGAACAAGGGTGTTACATCCCACCCTAATCCTCTTTAACCCCAGGCAGAGATTATGATTTATAACACAGGAAAATCACAAAATGTAGGACAACCACACAATACTGGGAATCATGGCCTAACCAAGTTGACACATTCTGGGGGGACACAATTCAATCCATGACAAGTTTTTTTTAATATATTAATGCTTTATGCTATTGTTCATTGAAATTATAATTGTAGGTTTGGTCAGCTTTTTCATTTCTTCCATCTGCAATATAAATTTTTATTTATAATTCACTTGTTTCAAAAAGGGATTAAGGTTAGAATATTTAGACAAGGGTAGGAAAGCCAGGTGGGATTGGGAGGGAGGTTAGCACAAAATATATGCCAGAGGGTCTGATTGATTTGCTATTGGTGAGCTGCAAGTCTAGTGCTCAGCTTTCCAGGAGGTGGCTGAAGAGAAATCTTGACTCAGAGTCTAGAAGTCAGAACCCCTGTGGCTTAGGAGATTCATCTCATTGTTGAGGGCACAGGGCCAGCCCATCTGCAAGTTTCCCTGGGCTGTTTCTCACAAGGGCTGTTCCTCACAATCCTTTTCACAAGGGCATCCAGTCAAAGTAGAATCCCACAGGAGCAGCCCTTGAAGGTGGCCAATGAGATAAGGCCCAGGATGCAGCTCTGAAATTTTACTAAGCAGGGAGTAGTGGTTCTGGAATTTTTGTCCCTCTTGGTGATACAAGACGCTTGTACCTGGCCTTTCCATTAGAAATTTCTGGTGCCGGCTCAAGACTCCCTTTCCTCACTTAGGAGGATGAGGGTGACATGGATACCTTTAGAGTTTGTGCAGTGAAAATAATTCACCCATCAGTTTCTATATGACGACTATTATTGGTAACAGATGATTTCCAGCCTTTCACATGGCCGACGGTGATACCCCAGAGGGTGTCTGAGACCCATGCTTTGGACAACTAGAGAAAGGCTAGATTACATGGCTTTAGGTATCCCACAGCCAGATTTTTATGGGTGTGAGCAGCAGCAAGCCTGAGATCCCCAAGCTCCCTGATGCTCCAGCTCTTGGAAAAATAGAGGAGCAGGGCCTGCCCTTGAGCTACCCAGAAAAAGGTGACTGCTGCAAAGGCCTGTGGGCAGCTAGAAGACTAAAACAAAAAGTAGATACTGACTTACTGGATAATATCAGGTGGTCTAACTTACGTGTAATTGGAGTCCCAGAAAATGGAGGTAGAGAGGCAGAAAAACATTTGAAGTAATCATAGCTGAAAAATTTTCAAATTTGATGAAACATATAAGCCCACAGATCCATAAAGTGCAGCAAACACCTAGCAGAATACAGAGACAAAAAAACCACTTAAGGCACATCATAATCGAATGAAAACCAGTAATGAGCAAACATCTTCAAAGCAGACGGAAGAACAGACACATTACATGCTGTTAGTTGCTGTTGAGTCGATTCTAACTCATGGCGACCCTCTCCGTGCAGAGTAGAGCTCTAGGGTTTTCAAGGCTGTGACCTTTCAGAAGCAGATTGCTGGGCCTGTCTTCCAAGGCACCTCTGTGTTGGTTCAGACCACCAACTTTTCAGCTAGTAGTCAAGCACCACCCAGAGACTCCCAACACATTACATACAAGTGAACAAAGATAAGGATGACAACTGTCTTCATCAGAAACAATGCAAGCCAGATGACAGTGGAACAACATCTTTAATGTGTTGAAAAAAACTGGTCAACTTAAAACTCCACTTCCAGAGAAAATATCCTTTAAAAATGAAGGCAAAATAGACTTCTCAGACAAACAAAAGCTGAGAGAATTTTCCAGCAGACTTGCCCTACGAGAAATGTTAAGAGAGGTTGTTCAGGCTGAAGGAAAGTTATAGTATAAGGAAACTCAGATCTTTACCAAAGAATGAAGAGCACCAGAAATGGTAAGTGGTGAATATAGAAGACTTTCCCCCCTTAAAATTTATTGAAAATATAATTGAATTTTAAAAGCAAAAATAATAATGATTTTTTTTTTTTAACATATGAAGCAGTAAAAGATATAACAACAGTAACACAAAGGATGTTGTGGGAGTGTCATGGATATGTCCCCCCAGAAAATGTCTATCAGTTTGGCTGGGCCATGATTCCCAGTATTGTGTGATTGTCCTCCATTTTGTGATTGTAATTTTATGTTAAAGAGGATTAGGGTGGGATTGTATAACAACTTTACTAAGGTCACATCCCTGATCCAATGTAAAGGGAGTTTCCCTAGGGTGCGGCCTGCACCACCTTTTGTCTTACAAGAGATAAAAGGAAAGGGAAGCAA